CTCTCCGCGGACGGGAGCCAAAGCCTCGGGGTTCTTGAGGAGGAAGAGCAGGAGCCAGAAGGCAGCAGGACCCATGTTCCCCTGCGGTGAGAAGAAGCCTCTGTTGTACTAACCGAGAGGGCACATCTGGGGTGTGCCACGGACACAGCCCTGGCCTCGGCACGAGGGTCAGGAGGCCTGGGCTTCCACCCTTGCCACAGGTCTAGGGACAATCCAGGTCCATCTTTAGCCTCAAGACACGGCCAAGACCTGCTTTATAGCTTTAGTATAGCCTAAAGACTACTTCAAGGCCATTCTCGGCATCCTTGACCTTGAACAAAATCATTGAGACTCTGAGGTCACATAGGTAATCTTCAAAAAAGTGTCAATAATAGGAACAAAGTGTGTCAATTAAGATTGTTGTTAACATCTGGGAATGACTGCATCCTTGGCCCAAGTCCCCACCCTTCCCTGCAGCCATGCCCCTTAGCATGTGACTCTGTACTTCCTCCCATTAAAGAGGAAGAGTATACTTCTCCACCCCGTGAATTTGGGCTCAGGCATGTGACTTGCTCTGGCCAAGAGAATGAGGCAGAACTGATAGAACAGCAGTTCTAGGTCTAGGCTCAGGTATTCAGCACTGGCTGAAATGCATATGGGTCTACGGGCCAGCCATGCTATCCTGAACAAGCCTGATCCCGCCTGATCTCAGAAGCTAAGAAGGGTCAGGCCTGGTTAGTACTTGTATGGGAGACCACCTAGGAAGACCAGGTGCTATAGGTGTAAAAAAAAACAAAACAATAATAATAAGGGATTGTAAGCTGACAAGGTCCTTGCAATCTGTGAGGTCAACCAAGGGTTACCTCACCTAAAAAAATAAACAAATAAATAAATGAATAATTTAAAAAATGCATATGGGACACCCTTAAATGAGACTTGGGTGAACACAAACTAACTTCAATGTGGGGGAAGATTTTTGTTTACCATAAACAACTATCCTAGACACTCCTAATAATAGAATATCAAATAGTTACTAAACATCACGTTTACCCAGTATTTCTATCACAGACATAACTACACACGGACAAAAAGACATTTGCACAAGTAACAGCAAGATTGGAAGCAACGTCTATCCATAGGAGATCAATAAGATAAATGATGATCCATCCCTAGGATGACACAGGAAGTTGTTGCAAAGAAGCTGGCTCTGTGCATACTGATATGGGACTGTAGCCAAGATGCACTGAATCGTGCAAACAGCAAAGATGCAGGACGGGGCTCAGCATGCCACCGCTGGCATGTACATTTAAAGAGGATGTGAAGAAGCACAGACTATCCCTAGAAGGATAATCAGCCACCTCTGGGACAGAAGCTGAGGGGATGGGAGCACAGGTAGGGGGAGGATGGCTTTCTACTGCACACATCTTTTTAAATTGCTTGACTTTTTAAAAATAATGTGCTACTTTGAAGCAAAACAAAAGCGACTGATTTTTACAGGGGTCTGCAAAGGACATGAGAAATGCTCGTGATATACAATATTAAGTAAAATTAAAAGTGGGATTTAAAAAAACTGCATGATTGTAACCACAGAGGAAAAACATGCGGTAAACAAATGCATCAAGGCACGAATGATGGTGCGATTTTCTTTCTTTTTCTTTAGCTGCAGTGGTGAATGCAGCTCCAAGGAGGTGCCACGTTCCCTGTTCAGTTCTCCCATCGAGCAGGCACCATTATCACATCTTTTACGGAAAAGGAAAATTAAGCACTCCCTAGTCCCTAAGCACTGACCATAAAGCATAAAGCAGAGGCTCAATGATATCTGTTAAATAAACACCTGTGTCCTTTTGGGCCAGGGGCCTGCACGTCAGCTTGTGGGCTGGCAGAGGCCTGGACAGGGACCAGGCAAAGTTCGGTTCAAATCCCAGCTCCTCACTTCCTGTGACTTTGGACAAGTCAATCCCTCTTCTGGGTCTTGGAACCTTCCTTTTGCTAAAATAACAACTCTACGTCCATTGAGTCTAGATGCAAGTGACCCCCACAGGCTGGCTGGGCACACAGTAGGTACACAGAAGAGATTTCTCCCTCACGTGGGTCCCTCCCCCAGACTTGAGAACAACTAGGGGCCTGGGACCTTCTTTGAGGTTTCCTCTAGCACCTTGGGTCCAGCAGAGACAAACGAGGTCACTTGCCGTCCATCACTTCAATAGCCAGAGGAATGTAGGCGATAAATAATTCAGCTTTGGGTTAACTCAATGCCACGGCCTTTTCATCTTGCCGGGATAGTCAGATGGAGGCCACGGCTCATTCATTACAAAGCAGGAGGCTGCTCAGTTATCTCTGCTTTCAGGAAAAAAGCTGTGGCCAGTTAGGGAGGTGACAAAGACCACCTTCCACTCAAACGCACAGATGTGTGTGAGCGTGCGCGTGTGTGCACGCACATGTGTCTGTGTGATCACACGACCGTAAGAGATTCTGAATTCGCTGCCCTGGAATTGAGCACCCTCAGTGGGGCGCCGCCTCATTTACTCGGAACACTTCTGGTCTAGCCTCGTGCCCTCCCCTGCGGACAAAGTCCAAGGCCCAGACCTGGGAGGGAAGCCTGTCCCGTGATGAGCCTGCGGGGACAGGCTCATCGTATCTTCTGAAATCATTATTCCCGCCTCGGCTCTGACCTGGTGATAGCAATTGCAACGACCATTTCTCAACTTCTGGGAACACTTCCTGCACTCAGCCTCTGGCCAGTGCTCCCTTCCGCCGCCTGGCCATCCCTCCTCTGTCTCCTGTGCTGGCTCCTACTCATCTTCCCGACCTCCCAACTGGAGAGGCCCAGGGCTTGGTCCTTTCCCCATCCACGCTCGTCCCCAGTGACCGCCAGTCCGGTAGTTTCAATACCATCTCTCCACCGCAATTCCCAAACGAATGTCTCCAGCCTGAGGCTTGACCATGAACTCCAGATTCTTCCAGATTCCACCCCTCCACCATTCTCCATCTCAAACTCAGAACACCCAAAACCAAACCCCTGGTTTTTTTCCCCCAAAACTTGCTCCCTCCATCATCTACCTCATTTGTTAATGGCAACTTCATCCTTCCCGTTGCTCAGGCCCACACCTGGAGCCATGTTGTCGATACCCTCTCCCAATATCTCGGCCAACAGCAAATCCTATTGGCTCTACCTGGAAATATGTCCAGGATCCAATCGATCTCCCTCCCCTCTCTGGTTTAGTGCCATCCTCTCTTGCATGGATATGGCGGTGGGCTCCTCCCTGGTCTCTCTGCCTCTCAGCAATGCAGCCAGAATGACCCCTCTAAAGCAGAAGAACGGGCCATGTCCATGGTTCTCTGCTCAGAGCCCTCAGAGGGGTCCCATCTCAGAGTCCTCCCTGTGGCCCACAGGGCGCTGCATGGTCTGGCACCTGCCACCTCCCTGCCTTCATGTCACCTTCATCACCACCTCAGGGCCTTTGCACATGCTGTGGCACTCTGCCTGGATGCCCTCTTCCTGTAGATCTGCATGGCTTTCTCTCTCATTTCCTTTGAGTTTCTGCTCACATGGCGCCTGCTCGGCGAGACCACCCTTGACCACCCTCTATAAAGCCGCCCCTCCTCACTCCCCTCTGCTTTTCCCCCTTCCCTAGCTCCACAGAACTTATTATGTCTAGTATATTTTATGTACTGTTATTAATAGTCTGTTTTATTAATAGTCGGTCTAGTTTATTAATAGTCTGTCGTCTCCCACCAGAATGTCAGCTCTATTAGGGCAGGGATTGTGCCTCTGCTCACTGCTCTCTCCCCAGCTTCTAGAACGATGCCTGGCACACAGTGAGCCCTCACTAAATATGTATAGGTTTATTGAGCTCTAGTTATCTGTCAAGCACAGGTACAAGTCTTACATGTATCACCTCTTTTCATCCCCATCACGACACCTTGAGGAAGGTGCTGCCACCTCCATTTTAAAGACAAGTAAACCGAGGTACCGAGAAATTAAGGGACTGACTTGCCAGGAAGTGGCTGAGTCAGAAATCAAATCCAGGCAGGTTGGTCACAGAGCCTGTGCCTGAAACCCCTGGGCCACATAGCATCTTGGCCCTGCTCTCAAGATTTGTGCTCTCAAAGGGGCTTCCCACCTGTCTGAATTCTGGACGCTGCCAATGACTTAACCTCAGAGGACGTACTGCCCCCAAGTTCTCTTGGTCCTGTCAAAGGCTGTTCCCTGGACTTTCTGCCACTCAAGCCCTCAGGCCAGCGTCCAGTTCCGCTGACAGAGGTCATTTCCACAAGGGGTTCTGGGAGCAGTTGGGAGCTCCAATCTCTGCCCATAAATATGTTATTAGGCACTAATGGGGCCCAAGTGCCGATCAAACCCAGCCCCCGTCCCTCGCCAGCCTCTGCCTGCAAGGACAGTTAATGGCTCTGAGCGAAAACTAAAAATAAGTTGCAAGTCGATGGGAGAGGAATTACCCAGAAATGTCAGCCTGTGCAACTGTCACTGCCGAGGTGGGGCCTGGAGGAGGAGCGGGCTCAGGGGTCGAGGGGAGGGCAGGAACCAGGATGGGGAGGCAGCCCCCTCAGCCCTAACATCTGGTCCGTCACGCCACCCACTGTTGGTGACTTCCCTTTGTTTCCAGAATCCATCCATTTCCTCACCTGCATGGCCACCGCCTGGTCCTGCCGTCACTGTCTCCTCACTGGGGTCCCTGCTTCTGCCTGTGCTCCTCAGATCCTGTCCCCCGCTTTGCTCAGAACCACCCCGCCCCCCGGAGTTCCCACCTCGCACAGAGAATAATCCCACATCCTCAGATGACCTCTTCCCTGAGTCCCACTCACCGGCCTCACTCTGCAGCAGCCACACTCAACCCCTTGCTGTTACCTACACGTCTGGCACGATCCAACCCCCGGGCCTTTGCGTCTGCGGTCGCCCCCACCTGGAATACTCTCCCCTCTCACCTTCTCCGAGTCCCCAGATGTCCTCTTCTTCATTATCCAGGGCTCAGTTTAAACATCACCTCCTCGGAGGCCTCCCTGAGCACCCTGGCTAGAGTAGACCGCCCCCCGCCAGGACCTCACTATTCGTCACCCTGTTTTATATCCTGCATATCAGCATCTAAAATCATCCTACATATGTTTCCTTGACTGTCTGCCCCACCCCCACCCCGGCTAAAACATAGTCCACTCGAAGTCGGGTCTTGATTGTCTACGGTAAGTATTCAGCAGAAACTTTAAATGACTCTTCAAAATAACTGGTCAGCGCACTTCGAAAATGTGAGGAAAACAATGAAGGGCACAGGAACTAGTCCACATAAAAGAAAACTAAAAAGGCAGAATGACTAAATGCATCACGTGATCCTGAATTGGATGCTGGATGGAGAAGAGCCATGGGGGATACTATGGGACAACTGGCAAAACTGGAATATGGACTGTATGTTAGATAATAATCCTGTGCTATGGGACAACTGGCAAAACTTGGTCATTGTCCTGTGACCATGTGAGAGGAAATTCTTGCTCCTAGAAGATGCACGCTGGAGTAATTAGAGGTAAAGAATCATGATGTCCGCAACTTAATTTGCAAACGATTCAATAAAATACTCACAGGAGGAGAGAGAGAAGGAAACCAAAAGCGGTAAAAGGTTAGAAACGGAAGAATCATATGAGTTCATCAAACTATTCGCACAACTTTCCTATAAGTGTAACACTTCCCAATTAAAAAAAAAATCGATACTGAATGAATGACCCTGTTCACGATACTGTTTCACAGTTAAGAGTCAGGGAACTGAGGCAGACGGCTGGCGTGTGTGTACAAACCCACACCCACACTCGTACTGGTACACACTCACCAATGCACACTACATGCACACATACACATATGCACGCTCACAAGTGCACACCAAATGCACACACACATGTGTACACTCACACGCACGTGCACACTCACATCCACACTCACATACGGAACCGCACGCCACGCCTGCATGCTCCCACTCACGCGCCGTGCCCACCTGCGTGGCCCAAAGCTGCAGCACCAGAGCCCGCGCCTGCATCTCCTCCGACACGCCCATCTCCTTCAGGTGCAGCAGGTAACTCTCAAGCCAGCTGCTCCGGTCGGCCCGGGTGACCACACTGGCTGGGGACAACAGCTTCCAGAGTCGACCTTTGACCTTGGACACACGGTCCTTATCCCCTGCAGAGACAGAGCACAGAGGGTGGAGGTTACAGATCCACCCAAGCCCAGGGCCACCCAGCCCTGACCTGCTATGAGGCCAAGGGTCTTCCGGGTGACTCCCCTCCATGGGGGAGGGAGGTTCCTCTGAGAAAGAGGCTGCAGGGAAGCCCTTTAAACGTTGACTTGCTTACTGCCTCACCTCCAGTGGACAGGAACAAGGGGCCTTGTCTGTTTCATTCGCCTGTGTCCCCAGCACCTGGTCCATAGTAGGTGCTGAGTAAATATGTATTAAATGAATGGTGGTTCTTTACACAGCAGGGAGAAGAGCATGAAACACCGAGCTTAGCAAAGCTTCATTCAGGAGACATCAGAAACAACCTAACTGCCATCGAGAGGGGCCAGGTTGGTCTGGGGCCTCAAACTCAACTACCTCCGAAGAAGATAGGTAAAGTAAAGGAGGAAAAAGGGCCTGGACAGGGCTGTGGGCAATGGGAGGGTCGGGGTGGCCCCTGCTCAGCTCTACCAACCAGCCCTGTGGGCCAATGTGCCCCTAGCCAGAGAGCCTGGTTCTCAGAAGAAGCTGAATATCAAGATGTTCATGTGGCATCTTCTCAGGGTTTTTTAAGGTTAGCATCTAAGTGAGAAATGTTTAATCACTGTGCAAGCCACACGAGCATGTCTGAAGGTCAACTGTGGCCCGCGGACCACCAGTCAGCAATCACCACCTCACAGTGGAGTGTTACGTTCTGGAAAATTATGAGAAGTCTTTTATGAACAGAGACGCACTCAAGGGCAGACTCCTGAGGGCATAAAGCCAGGTGCTTATTATTTATATATTGTGCTAATGCTAGAAGATGAGACTATATTTATACCTATATGCGCAATATAAGATTTGGTTTTTCCAAATCACTCCTTGGAAAAGTGGGAGTTGCTTTGGATTGCCACGAAATTCCAAAGTTCTAGAAACTCTCTCATTGACTTCTTTGAACCATGAAGCAGTGTTTCAGGAAAACCCAACCACCCAGTGGTTCTAAACCAGGCTGCATACCACAGGGTGTTTAAAAGGGCAGCAAATGTAGGTTAAACACATTTTTTAAGTATCTTAGTTACATTTTCAAAGAATATGCTCCATATGCTTTTCTTCAACCTCTAGACACAGTTTCAAGTGACATACTCCTTAATTTTAAGCAACAAGCCCATTATTCATCTAAAATACATTATTTTCCTGTGCTTCCCAACTTTGGGAGCACTGGAGTTTAAAACTCGGGGGTGTTAAATGCCTGGATGCCCAGAACCCACTCCAGATTAATCTTGTCAAAATCTCTGCTGGTAGAAGCCAGACACACGAGAATTTAAACAGGTGAGTGCAGGGTGCAGAAAGCTTTGTAGCCACCTCAGTTGATGCTAGCTCTGGATGCTTATCGGAGTCATCTGATGAGAGAACTAACAAAGGAGGAACAGAAATTTAACACATATTTAGAAATAACTGGCATTCTCTGAGGTCAGACAGCCCATTTACAAGTGTTGAATGTCACTGCGAACATGGCTTTTAAGGATGACTTTACGAAGCAATGCAGTATGAAAAGACAACCAACAGAAGAGGAGAAAATATCTGCAAATCATCTATCTGATAGGGTTCTAGCACCCAGAATATATAAAGAACTCCTACAACTCAACGACAACAAAAACAAACAATGCAATTCGAAAAATGGGCAAAGGACTTGAATAGACATTTCTCCAAAGGTGATATGCAAATGGCCAGTAAATACAGGAAAAGATGCTCAACACCATTAATCATTAGGGAAATACTGATCAAAGCCACTTTGAGAGATCACCTCACATCTGTCAGGATGGCTAATGTAAAAAAAAAAAAAAAATGAGTAAAATAAGCAAAGATATGGAAAAACTGGAACTTTGTGCATTGCTGGTGAGAATGTAAAATGGTCCAGCCACTGTGGAAAAGTTTGGCAGTTCTTCAAAAAGTTAAATATAGAACTATCATACAATCCAACAATTTCACTCCTGGCTATATACTCAAAAGAACTAAAATAAGGGACCCAAACAGATACTTGTACACAAATGTTCATAGCAGCATTATTCACAACAGCTAAAAGGAGGAAATAACTCGAATGTCCATCAACAGATGAACGGATAAACAAAGTATGGTCTATCCACACAACGGAATACTATTCAGCCTTTACAAAGAAAGAAATTCTGACGCATGCTATAACATGGATGAATCTTGAAAACATTGTGCTAAATGAAATAAGCCAGACACAAAAGGAGAACTATTGTTAGGATTCACTTATATGAGGTACTGAGAGTAGGGAAATTCACAGAGACAGAAAGTAGAATAAAGGTTACCAGGGGTTGAGGAAGAGGGATATGGGAGTTACTGTTTAATAGAAACAGAGCTTCGGTTTGGGATAATAACAATTTTCTGGAAATAGATAATGGTACAGTGACGCGACACTGTGAATGTACTTATAGCCACAAAATGATACACTTGAAAATGGCAGATTTCATGTTATGTGTATGTTACCACAATTAAAAAAAGGAAGTTATGTGAATGTCATTTGGCAAATGAGCCAAAGATGGCACTGTACAATAAAAAATTGGACTGAAACAAAAGGTAAAAAAACATAGCATGTATTGGATCCATAGATCAAATCAGCTAACATTTATCAAGCCTTTAGAAAAGCACAGGGCACACACTATACCTTACACATGAATTAGCTGTTACTACTATCAGGCCTGCTGATGGGTGAGATGCTGATGTCGAAGGTGGAGGCTGAATACGACCATTTCCCGGAATGTGAAAGTATGAACAAAACAAAATTTCTAAGTGGTCAGTTTATATAGCGTGTGAGCTTAACTACAGATGTCAACAACATCTGTAAGGGCAAATTTAACTATTTCATTTCCATTCCTAATCATTTCTATACTTAGTTGACCAAAAATAAAAAAAGACAAAACAAACAAAACAAAACCTTCCCACTGGGAAAATAGTGGCTCACTGTAGATTTGGATCACAGTATAACTTGGGCTCGTACTGTATTTTAACACTGGGAGAATGGTCTAGAATGGCCCTGTCCAACAGGACAGCCCCAAGTCACGCACGGCTACTGAGCACTTGAAATGTGGCTGGCCCAAACTGAGATGTGCCGTGAGTAAAAGTAAAAGTCTTAGCCTGAGTGACAAAATGTAAAATATCTCAATAATTTTTATATTGATGACATGCTGAAATGCTATTATTTTTAGATATACTGGGTTAAAGAAAATGTATTATTAAAATTGATTTCACCTCTTCCACTTTTTTTGCTAATGCGTCTAATAAGAAATGTAAAGTTGCTTATGTGGCTTGCATCCTAGACAGCACTATTTTAGAAGGATAACGTCAAATTGATAACAATTCTTGAAAGAGAATTGCCCTTTTCTGCAATACTGAATTTTTTTTTTTTTTTACAAGAGGCAGGGGAGCCCAGTTAAGAGCCCAAGCTCTGGAGTGGCTGACCTTGAACGATAAGTTCTTTCTGCCAAATTGCTCTTCCAGAGGCTGCTCGTGCCCGTAAGGTTTAAGGGTAGGTTTTGCCCACCAGCCTCCAGCCTCTACCTGAGAAACCTTCCCCAACATCGCCACCTGCTGCCCACACTGGGAGATGGAGCCTTCCTATAACCAGCCCAGGTGCGGCTCCCAGCATGAAGGAGGGTCCCGCCCCTCTGCATCTACCCAGACTTCCCTGGACCGTCTGTATGAAGAAAAGGGCAATGGAGG